CTCTCTCTCTCTCTCTCTCTCTCTCTCTCTCTCTCTCTCTCTCTCTCAATTTAACTAGGAGGACATGGGCAGTGAGGAGAAGCTGTATTTTGGCTTGAATGAGTACAGCAAGTCCCTGCAGTGGGGAATCACTAGTCCACTTCTAAGATGTGACGAAACGTTTGAGAAAATGGTCAACACGCTCTTAGAAAGGTAAATAATGAGAAAGCGTAACCTTTGATCCAGCTGTAGACGCATATCTGAAACAGGCAAGAATATGGTGAATCCCAGTGTTGTATTGGACAGGGTATGAGCTGTGAAAATGATATTTTGAAGGTTTGGAATAAAATTAGTCTTTTATGTGATGACCATTCATTCATGCTGGTAGAATAACAGTGGGCATGGCAAAAATAGGGCTGAGGCCCCTCCTTCCATCTGCTGGATGATCTTGACTTCATACTCAAATGCCACCACCTGGAGGTAAAAATAAAGAAAATTTCTCTCATCAAAGATTGTGAGTGGAGGTTCACATACTCTTTCTGGCTTTTCTAATAATAAGTAGTCTTTCTCCTAACAGTTTGCTTCAATCTAATATTAGGTACAAGATCAAACTTCATTGTGGTGTGAGGAAATTTGGTATATAAACTATATACCACAAAAGAGCTGAGATTCATAGCTGTGCAGTCCAAGGCCCTTCCACACCTTAGCAGATAGTTTCATGAACTGCTGTGGCTAAAAATATTTATCACCTAGTGGCCAGTCTCTGGTAAGGGACATTTCTAGGCCCCCCTTCAGCCCATAGTTTATGTCTTTCTAACTTCCATCCCTCTTTTCAACTTTTCTGTTTCTATCAAGGGTGCAACCATCCTTCTAGTCACCCAGGTTTACAACCTTGGTGACTTAATTCCTTAATTCCTTAATTCCTACTTTCCTTCACCATACATCTCTAACCAGTTGCTAGATGTTATTGTTTCTACCTCTGGAACATCTCTCCCATCCATCCCCTTACTTTCTACTCACACAACAACCATCCTAGTTCAGATCTTCTTTACCTCTTTCATTGCCTATCAAATGACTCCTAATTGGCATCCTTGCCGCAAGTCCCACCCCACCCCACACTTACCATCCTCTCAAGCTATTATCCAATATCTCTCTTTCTTTTCACTGCCAAACACCTTGAAAAAAAAAAACTGCTTAAACTCATTGCATCCTCTTTCTTGCCTCCCATTCATTTCTTAACCTCTTGCATTGTAGCCTCTAACTTTATTATCAACTGAAATGCTTCTCTGTGAAGTTACCAGATGATGTGTAGTAATTCACAAACCCGCATCATGCCCTTCACAGTTTGACTGTAACTCTATGAAAGTTCACCCTGGCCCAAGCTGTCCAGGAATATATCCGGGAACACCTCACCAGGCCAGGTTATCAAGGCCAAGACTGTCCTCACCCAACCAGAATATCAGGGTACCTTAATCTAGCAGGATAGCACACAGCCCATGTAGTTAGTAAATATATCTTGCCAGTTAGCAACCAGAAGAGAAAGCTGAGAAGCTAAGAGGCCTTATTATGGGTCCGTGGGGAGCCTGGTGCATCACGTGGTTTACTTGGTTTTACTCATGCTTTTCTCAACCCAGTCTCTCTGCCTTGGTCTGTTCTCATTTATTCTCATTTATACTCATTTAAATTTTGCCTCAGGCCAGCCATTACAACGGTAACCCAAAGTCTCAAAGAAAGGTTCCATGAAGAATAACAGAAGTTAATTTCACAACATTTTCCCTCATTGAAGAAAGCCCTAATTAGAAAAAAAAAAAAAAGACCACATTTCTACTCAGTCAAATGGGATTAATAGTTGTAAAATGCTTAGCACAGTGCCTGGCACATAGTAAGTGTTTTTTCCAGTGCTTAGCATAGTGCCTGGCACATAGTAGGTGCTTAATAAATGTTTATTGACTAGCTGTTTGTACAGGAATGGAGGTGACACCAAGGGGAAGATGGAGGGAGTGGAAGATGAACAAATACCCCTTCACCTCACCAAAACTCCCAGACTGTGGCAACACAGAGAGGCAAACATACATATACATTGTCTTTAACATTATCATTATTTAGGCACTAGAAACTTATCTTAGCCTAACATTGCCAAGATCCAGAGGATATTATTTTCCTAATAAGCTAGCGATGTGTCCCTAGCTTCAAGCTCTAAACAAAATGCAGTGTCAGTTCTGGAGACAGAGGACTTGGGGTCAAATCCCACCTCGTAAGCTTACGACCTTTGTGACCTTGGGCAAGCTAGTTAACCTCCCTAGGCCCTAGTTTCTTCATCTATAAAATAAAGGGGTTGGAATAGATAACTTCTGAAGCCCCTTCCAGCTATTGATCTGCAATCTGACGATACCATGACATGCCGAAGCAGTCAAAGCAATTAAAAAGCGGGGCTATCCTGAACAAACCAGAAAGTCAGGTCACCTGAAGTCAATGATCTTTGTATTGCATGGGTAAGTGCAGACAGGATCACACATTTTCCCAATGAGATTGCTGCTTAGAAACTGAATCAGCAGAAATAATTCTGTTGCTTATCTCTCTGCCTTTCTATAGGCTGACTGTCCCAGAACGCTGTCCATTCTCATCTCTACTTCTTTGGATCCCTAACTTTATTCACTGCTTATCTCCTGTCCCATCCCCTACCAGAAGCCTTTTCCTGATCCTCCTAGCCTGTTGGGGCTCACTTGTTCCTCAGATTTTTGTGATATACTGGTTTACCTGTTTGTTTGCCCCTGGTGGAATGTAAGCTCCTTGAGGGCAGAAATCATTTTTCATTTTGTCTGTATACCCCTGCTGCCTATCATGTACTTAATATTAATTCAATACTTAATAATGATTCCCAGTAAATGCTTGTTGGAAGTAAGTATGTGATCATAGAAGGGAATTTAATAGATCATTTCCTCCAGCCTCTTCTTTTAACAGAAGAGAAAACCTAGGCCCAGAGAGGTTTACTCAAGAACACATAGGAAATGGGTGTGGCATGTATAACTTACATTAGATTGCTTACCGTTTCAGGGTTGGGAGAGAAAAAAGAGGGAGGGAGGGAGAGGTGGAATTTGGAATTCAAAACCTGAAAAAAAAAAGTTTTTAAATTGTTTTAACATGTTAATTGGGGAAAAAATAAAATATTATTTAAAAAAAAAAAAGAGTGTGAGAGCTAGACTTCAAACCTAGGTCCCCTAGGACAGTGTATTGTCCACCCTACCCTGAGGTGATCTAGAAAGGTGACTGTATGGAACAGGTTTATACGCAAAAATAATATATGGCTTCCTACAGTTCTTGAGATTAAGCCTGATATTGGGGTAAAATCTTTCGTTACATTGGCATTGTATTATATTGAATTTTTCTCACAGAAAATCATTTTCATTGTGTTGATATTGAAGTAGTCATTAGCCATTAGTATATTTATATTATTTCATGTTCTCATGTTCTGGAAGGTACTTTGCTATATATATGTAGCTTTCAGAATCTTATAAACTGGGCCAGATCCATGGAGCGAGTGTTCTATTTCTTATAATAGAATGAAAGGATATTTTATAGAAGGTATATTCATTGCACTCTCTGCTATTCACTTGTTTGGTTTTTGAAGCCCTTCATAACCTATCTTTCCAATCTCTGCAATGCAGTAACCCTGGCCTCCTTGCTATTTCCATGTATCTGCCAAAGCAGTATTATTTAAATTTAGAGACAACTATGTGGTACAGTGGATAGAGCACTAGACCTGTAGTCAGGATAAAATCTGGCCTCAGACACTTACTAGCTGTGTGATCCTGGGCAAGTCACTTAACTTCTTATCTGTCTCAGTTTCATCCTCTTTAAGGATAGTAATGGGCATGGGGCAGCTGGGTGGCACAGTAGATAGAGCTCTGGCCTTGGAGTCAAGAGGACCTGAGTTAAAATCTGACCTTACTAGCTGTGTGACCCTGGGCAAGTCACTTAACCACGATTGCCTCACCAAAAAAAAAAAAAAAAAAATAAGGATAGTAACGGGCAGCTAGGTGTTGCATGGATAGAGTGCCAGGCCTAGAGACAGGAAGATTCACCTTCCTGAGTTTAATTCTGGCTTCAGATACTTACTAGCTGTGTGACCATGGGCAAGTCACTTAACCCTGTTTGCCTCAGTTTCCTCATCTGTCAAATGAACTAGATTAGGAAATGGCAAACTAGTCCATTATCTTTGCCAAAAAATCCCCAAATGGGGTCACAAAAAGTCAGACATGACTGAAAAGGACTAAACTACAACAAAGAAAAGAACAGCATCTACTTGCTCATGTTGTTGTGAGGCTAAAATGAGATAGTATTCATAAAGTGCTTTAAAGCAGACCTTAAAGTGCTACATAAATGCTAGCTGTTGTTTTCATGAAACAGAAATCTAATCATGTCATCCTCCTGTTCATTAACTCCAGTAGCTCCCTATTGCCTCTAGGACAAAATATAAATTCATCTGCCTTTTTAAGGCTGGCACAGCCTGGCCGCACTGTCTTTCCAGTTTCATTGTACATTATTGCATTCTGTATTATTCTGGCCTCCCATAATGTTCCATCTTCCATCTTCAAGTCTTTGCAGTGACCACCCTCCATCTCCGGAATATATTCCCTTCTCACCAGGGTCTCGTTAAATCTCTTTAAGACAGCTCAAACTCCATAAAGCCTTTTCCAGTTCTCCCCCACTATCTACTACTAGTGCCCTTTCTCTGTCTTATATTTACTTTGTATTATGTGTGTGTGTGTGTGTGTGTGTGTATAAAATTACATTTATATATGTACATGTTATTTCACCCAATAGAATGTAGCCTCTTTGAGAGCAGGGATTACTTTCTTTTTTATCTATGTCTCCATCATCTGGCAAGTAGTAGGCACTTAAATGCTTGTTGATTGGTTGATTGTCTAAAACCAGGGTTCTGTACCTGATTTGTGTCGTGGAGCCCTTTGGCATTCTGATGAAGCCTTTGGACCCCTTCTCAGAATAATGTTTTTTTAAGGCATAAAACACCAAGGATTTTAGAAGAAACCAATTATAATGAAATACCATTAACAAAATATTAAAAACAACAAGTTCATGGAACCCAGGTTAAGAATCCCTGGTCTAGCATCTTCTTAAACTTCTTTATCGATAGCATGTTGGGATTATTGAATTTAGGGAAACAGCTTGGTGTAGTGAAAAGAGCAGTTTTGAGTCAAAAGACCATTATTTAAATCCCAGCTCTGACATTTATTAACTTTGTAATTTAAGTCATTTAATCACTCTGGGTTTCTTCATCAGTAAAATGGCAGTTGTGGGGGGGAGGGGAGGAAATCAAGTACTGGATCTCTAAGTTTCCTTCCTGTTCTAACTCTGTGGTTCCACTATAATCTGATTTAACTTCGTATGCCAAGATAGCACCACATATCAGAACAGTATCTCAGTATGGTGGGGCCCCATTCTGCAAAGGCTCCCAGTGACCCGCTGGCCTTTGGTCCTAACTGTAGAGCCCGTGATGAAGATCCCTGAATTCAGACTGCTTTACTAATTAACGCTGTTGTGCATGTTTTCTTTAAGGTACCCCAGGCTTCATAGCATGGTCATTCGCTGCTACCTTCTCATTCAACAGTACTCAGAAGCATTGATGGCCCTCACCACCATGGCATCTCTCCGAGACCACAGTACTCCAGAAACACTCAGCATCATGGATGACCTCATCAGCTCGCCAGGAAAGGACAAGAGTGGGCGGGGGCACATGCTGATCATCAGGGTGCCTTCAGTGCAGCTGGCTATGCTGGCAAAGGAGAGGTTGCAGGAGGTGCGGGATAAGCTGGGCCTCCAGTACCGCTTTGAAATCATCCTTGGGAACCCAGCTTCAGAACTAAATGTTGCCAGTCACTTCGTGGCACGGTTAAAGGTTAGCAACAGATAAATGTTTCTACCTTCCATTTTACCAGTTATTCATTGTTTTTTCCCAATATAGTGCAGATGTCTGAGACTTGGTCTTTGTGACAATTATGAACAAATTCATTATTTGGTATTTTATTTGATGTTTAGCATTTAATCTTCATGACAGTTTTAAGAAAGGAGGCAGTGTGTGTGATATAGTGGGGAAATAAAAATAATCATAATAACCAGCATTTATAGAGTACTTTATATATGTTATTTCATTTGATCTTCGTAACAACCCTTTAAGGTAGGTTCTATAATTATCCTTATTTTGCAGATGAGGAGACTCAGACTTAGGTTAAATCATTTGCCCAGGGTCACATAGCAAATAAGTGTCTGAGGTGGGATTTGAACTCTGATCATCCTGACTCCCAAGTCCAGTGCTCTATCTGGTATGCCACTTAGCCTCTGGCTCTATAATTAGAGGACATAGATTCAAATTCTGTGTCTGACACTGCCTGTGTGACCTGAAATCGGTTAGTCTCTCCGGGCCTAAGTTGCTTTATTTATAAAATGAGAGAATTGGATTAGATGGCCTCCGAGGGCCCTTGCACTTGTAGATCTATGATTCTTTTTTGAGGGACGTAATTATTTTCATAATTATAGATACAGTTTTAGAAGATTCTGAGAGCAAGAATTATCCCAGCCTAGCCTAGTCTCATTGCAATTAACTTTAGTCTCTAACCTATCTTGGCTGACCCAGTCCTACCAAGGATCCTGCCAAGACTCACTAGGTTTTCTGATTTCTGGGATGTCTTCAAGAAAAGGTCTCCTTCCTGCTCCCACCACTCAGTATCTTCATCCTAGTATTCTTATCAGTTCAATTATTTTTTTAAACTTCTTAAAAACTTATTTTTATAGTATTTTCCCCAATTATAGGTAAAGACAATTTTTGACATTCATTTTTAGAAGATTTTGAGTTCCAGATTTTTCTCCCTCTCTCCCTCCTTTCCCCTCTTCCTAAAATGGTAAGCAGTTTGATATAGGTTATATATGTGCAATCATATAAAATATATTTCCGTATTAATCACATTTGTGAAAGGAGAAACAGACCAAAAAGAAAAAAAAAAACATGAAAAAAGTAAAGTAAATTAAAGAAGTATGTTTCAGTCTGTATTCTATCAGTTCAGTTCTTAATGAGGCCAGTTACAATCCCCACAGTTGTTCAAAGGCACTTCTGTTCTCCTCATGTCCTCATCTTACTCCTTGGCTCCTCACTTTCAGTAGATGACCTTACTTTCCACTTTTACTCCTCTTCCTCTTCCTACTACTACTACTACTTCTACTACTACTACTACTACTAGTACTACTACTACCACCAGCACTACTACTACAACTACTGCTACTACTACTAACTACTACTCCTACTGCTACAGTTAACTAGCATTTATATAGTGTTTTAACACTTGCAAAGCACTGAACATGTTATTTCCTGTGACCCACAGAATATTCCCTTGAGGTGGGTGCTAAGTGATTTTTCCACTCCTGCTTTTCTGACCTCAAGTCCATCCCCCCAACACCACCAGGCTGCCTCTAAGGAGAGAGCCGACCATACTGAACTTCCGTGACACAGAGTCTTCCTGTCCTCACCTGTCCCTTCAGCTTCCCTTTCTGCCTCAGAGGTTTAAAGAGCCTTCCCTTAACTAGTTTAAGTTTGCCTGATTTTCAATCCCAGCCTCTAGTTCAGGGATCCCTGTCTTCAACCAGCTGTCTTGCTGTCTCAATAAGCAAAAGGAAATGGTGTGGTACAGCTAAAAGCATTAGATTTAGAGTCAGGATGAGGATTCAAATTCTGATTCTGTTGCTTACTATTTGTATGACCTTGGACAAGTCATTTCCATTCTTGGCTTCAGTTTCCTCATCTGTGAAATAAAGGAATTGGGCTAAATAACTTCCAAGGGCCTTTCTGGCTGTAAAGCTAAGGTCCCTTTTTAGCATCTCTGGTTGATATTAATGCTCTCTAGCTGTAGGTACAAAAAGGAAATGGTCATATTTGGTCTAGTATTTACTGACTTTGTGCAAGATGAATATAACACACAGCTGTCTGTTTTGTCATGAATCAGGTAAGTTTGCTTCTCTTCAACATCAAAGGGGTCTATCTAAAATAGGACCCATTCGCTCATTTTCTTCTGTGGCGTTCCTGGTGTCAGATTGAACGGCAACTGAGAACGTAACAAATTCTGCCAGGAGGTAGAAACTCTTGTCTTTTACTAAAATCAGCAGAGTCTTATTCAGCCACGAGGTATGACATTTCATGGTTAAACATCGCATCTCTCTCTAATTTTTTTGTAGTAATGTAACACATTCACAATTATGAATAATAGTAATTTTTTGAGATTTTAGCAAGTGACATTGAATTCATGGAATGAATAACGGGGAAATTTAAGATGCCCTTCTTACTCTGCATGTTATTTTTCTTATGTTTCTCCTAAGTTCTAACTAAGACAATTGTAGTTAACTTACAAGACCTCAGATCACATGAGTGGCAGGATATTTAGATCCCTGTCATAAGTCCCCGTTGCTGTTCTTAAAGGCATGGTACATTCTGGCACTTATAATTTGTCCCAGTAGCTATTTGGAATATCTGCACTTGAAGATTGTTGTTCTTCTGTCATTTCTGACTCTTTGTGACCCCACTTGGGTTTTCTTGGCAGTAATTTGCCATTTCTTTTTCCAGTTCATTTTTATAGATGAGGAAACTGAGGCAAATGGGGTTAAATGACTCGCCCAGGGTCACACAGCTAGTTAGGTATCTGAGGCCAGATTTTAACTCAGGAAGATGAATCTTCCTGATTGCAGACCCAGTGCTTTATCCACTTTGTCACCTAGCTGCACTTGAAGGTACCAGGCCTTTAAGATGCTCAGTGCCTAGCGAAATGGTAAGCATATTGCATAGGAAGACACTCAATAAATGTTTGTTGAATGAGACATAATTTATATACTGTTTGAACAATGCTGATAAAATAAGGAAGGTGAATAAGTTCAGTCAGGTAACTAACTTCTTGTGCTCTATGCTCTGTTGCTGCAGAGGGGTGAGAACTGGGGCTAAAGATATTTTTCTGGGGTTTCTTATCCTGTTTTAGCTATCCTTTAGTCATCTGTGCTAACTTGGGTAGCATATTTATACTCCCAGTCACTAGTTCAGAGTCCCTCAGGAGAAAACTAAAATCACCATATTAAGCTATTTTTTGCCCTAACAAAAATAAAATAAGAATGAAGGGCCTTTCGAGGCCTTGCAAGACCAATGTGTGTCCTTTAAGGCATACATTGACTGTGGAACCCTCTAACCAACATCCTGTTTAATTGCATAGCCCCAGGAACATGAGTTTAATAACACATCCCAATCCAGAACTTCCCAGTGGACAGACACATAGTTTCTTTCAGGCCCAACAAAGTCCTTTTTTTTACATCTCCAAAAGTGGAAATAGTATCCGGGCCCAGACCCAATCTGCTTCTCCTCTCATCAGAGATATTGAAGTAGAATTTGCACAGTAACTTGTTATTGTTAGAAATGTTATAGAGGAATTAGGCTCAAATGATCTCTGAGGATCCAAACAACTCAGATTGTGAACCTAAGGGAACCTTCCAAATGGTTCATACCAGCCTAAACCAGGACCAGACCACCCCATGTGGATTCAGTAGACCATCCAGACTCGCCCAGTCAAGGGCTTGCTTCCTGTCATAGTCCAAAACTGCTGGAATATCCTGGGATAATTGCTTTCAAACTTGGTCTTGATGTTAGGTTCTTGCCTTGTGTTCCACATAGCATCTCAGGGTTCTCCAGGACAGCTGTAGGGATCCTTTGAAAGAAGGTGTCTACATGGTAGTCTTATATGGTTTGTATGATCGCCTACTCTTTCCGGGCCCCAACCCAACCCCCAATGTCCAAATGTCTTAAAATCTCAAAATTTCTAGGATAGATCAAGACCCTTTTGGTAACCGGATCTTTTAGCAGTTGGGGAAGTAACTATGTGAAAATATTATAAGATGCTCATACCATAGGCAAGACTATAGCAGCCCTGCCAAGTAGTTCCCAGTTTACCAGTTTATTTCTTTACCATTCCCCATCCTTTGGAGTAGAAGTCGGTCCATCTAATTGACTACTGTCTTTATTTCCATTACACCATCTCAGTTCTATTTCTAACTGTCCTATTTTACATTTTATTTGATTTATAAATTGTCTCAAATTCAAAAGAAATGGAGGGAGGGGCAGGTGGACAAATAGGCAGAGAGAGAGAGGGAAAGAAATTTCTCCATAAGGACAAATGAAGCCATTAAAAAAAAAAAAAAAGCAGGCTTCGTTGACATTGAGCTTCAAGGCCATTGCTGGACTAAACATTTAGCCACACTGCTAAAACTGACAACGTTTTGGTGTTTAAAACTCCTTTGGAGTGCAATTTCATTCTAAACCCATGGTCAGTTAGTAGAGATATCTGGGCAAGTAACTTTGTAAAAGAGAAGGTATCTTTCTGTGATCGGAGTGACACTAGCCAAGGTTGTAAATGACATTTGTTATTTTTATCGATAATAACTTGAAGACAAAACTTCTTGTAGCTGTCCAGCAGAGCTACTGTTATCCAACTATTATGACCTGATTTCAGCGTACTTGGCAGTATAGTAGACTAATGAGGTTCCCGGGAGAGGCTGTTCAAATCCTATAGATAATAGGAAAGTAATGAGCAATCAGCACCAAAATAAACCCTGAAGTGCTTAAAAGAGAAAAAGGAAAGTAATGAACAGTGTCATTCTTCTTTCAAAGAATCTTCTCACCAGGGTGATTCAGCTAATGTGCATGTCAAATGAAGGAAGATTGAGTTCTCCTTCATGTGGCAAATGTGTGAGGAAGGATGTTTTACTGAAGCATCTTTTTTCTTAATGCTATTTTATTTTTTCTTTCTGATGAAATGAATTGTAAGATACTAGAAACCCTTTAAACTTGGATCTAATTACTCAAAATGGACAACTCTAAATGACAGGCGAGCAAATTGTGCCATGCTTTTCTTCTGCCTTAAAATATGCCTGTAGTTGAGGTTTCCCTGATGACAATTTCAAATTGAAGGAATTGTGGTATATTTCTGAAGATTAGTTTCCTTTCTGTAGGCCTCTACTCTTCATCAGGACATAAGCAGATGACTATTCCCATTCTCAATCATAATTATCCAGTGGCTTTTTAAAATTCTAGTTTTTACTTGGCACCCTCTGATTATTTTTAAGTGTGTCAGTATTCCGAATGCATGACTGTATTTTCATTAACCGCTGTATCTTTATGCCCTGCTCTTTGGTTTTCACTTTTGACCGCCAGTATCACTAAATCTTAGAATCAGCTAGAGGGCTTAGTGGATAGAGTGTTTAGCCTGGAGTCAGGAACACTTGAGTTCAAGTCTGGCCTCACACACTTACTAGCTGTGTGACCTTGGGCAAGTGGCTTAACCTCTGTTTACCTAAATCCACTGGAGAAGAAAATCGCAACCACTCCAGTATCTTTGCCAAGAAAACCCCATGGAAAGTATTGGCTATGGTCCATAGGGTCATGAGTCAGACACAACTGAACAACAACAATCACTAAGCCAAGCCTAACTCTTGTTGTATAAATCCTTAATGGCAGCTTAAACACAAAGTCTTATGAATTTTATTTTAAAATAATAGTAATTGTAGTTATTCTAGAGAGTGAACTTTTTGTAGCAAAGTAACAACTGAAATGGAAGTCATATGATTATCACATTTGGACATCTTTAAGGAAGTTTAGATTTTCAGTCTTTTAGAGAATAACCTTTTGGAAAGGTTAGTAACTTTGAAGACCCCCCGCCCCAAGTCAGTAATTATTTATGCTGGTTGCTTTGAAGTAAACATAACAATTTATAATTTTTAAACTGCTAAAAATAAAATAAAACAGACATGGAAAAGAGCTCCTAAGTAATATTTATTTGGTGATTAGTTTTCCCACTGAAAGAAGTATCTATTTGAATGAAGTTTAACAATTCATCATTTATATATAAAACTGTCTTTTTTTGGTCAAGTCAGAAGGCATTTATTTACTGGGGTTACTGAGTGTTAGGCACTGTGCTAAGCATTGGGGATACCAAATACAGGAAAAGAGACAGACAGTCCCTGCCTGTCCTCAAGAAGCTCACATTCTGATGGGGAAAGACATGACATAAATGGGAATTTTAAAGTTGGGAGTAGGGAAGGAAGAGATGAAGGTACCTAGTGCAGAGGCATTGTAGAGTCCGGGAGAGTCAAGCATATAGCCGGAAGAAGAATGAAGACGTGGCTGGCCCAGGCATCCTCCTTAAAATGGAGGTTCTGAAAGAAATCAGCCAATCAGAGACAGTGGCTACAGGGCACTTCCAGTGTGTGAAGTCCAGGGACAGAGTGAGCTTCCATGGTGAAGAAGTTTCTATGGCATGGTAGAGGAAGACCAGGAGAGTCCAGAGTGCAACCTAATGCATCAAGGAAAACTTACTTAGACAAAAACTCCAAGGTGTTTATTTGTGAAGAGAGTGTCTTTGGGTATTTTCATTAAGTCAGATCAGATAATCAAAAAATGTAGACTATTACACATTTCATTGTATTTTATATCACTGTAAAATAATAATAGATGACATTTGTTTCATTCTTCAAAATTTGCAAAGTGCTTCAAAACATGATCTCATCTTAGGCTCACAACAACCATTCTCTTTCCTGTTAATAGTAATCCAGTTAGAAATTGGAATGAAAACTACAAGTCATATTCTGCCTTGGACTGACTCCATCTGCGCTCCTTTGGGGGATAATGCATCCCTGTATTCCAAGGGTTCTTAAATCTATGGATGAACTTTTCAGAGTAATATTTTCAAATGCACAAAATAAAATATATAAGATTATAAAGAAAACCAGCTATATTAGAATACAGTTATCAAAATATTTCATTTAAAAAAGTTCATAGACTCTAGGTTAAAGAACCCTTGATCTCTCCTATTCATCTACTAAATTAGGATTCCTTTGGGGTTGTAGCCTTTTCTAGAATTTACAGATTACACAGATCTAAGTGAAGATGGACCCTGAATTAGGAGAAATTTAATTTTACTAAATGGATTTCTTTCTGCAGAGTTGGAGAAGAAATGAACAAGAAGAATGGATCCCTCGGACCTATCAGGATTTAGAAGGTCTACCTTGTATTGTAATATTAACTGGAAAAGACCCTCTTGGAGAAACTTTTCCCAGGTACTGTTTAAACAACCACTTCTCACTCTCCATTATTCATTGTTTAGAGTGAAAGGTTAAGGCCACGAAAGGTTAATAACCATAGTTAGGCTGCCATTCCTTTCTATGTCAGTGCTGTAGGGGTGTAGAAAACACTGTCTAGTTTTCTGTCATCTGGCTGGTCTGGAAGCCCTTACCTTAAAAAAAGAAGATACACTAGTTTTAGAGAAATCACAGGGTTAGAGGAGGCAAGCAGATTGGGAGGCCAACTGCCACAAGTGGATACTGCCTATTACTGGCAAAAAAAGTACCCCTTTCTCTGGATGGCTGAAAAAACATATCCTGCTGACCTGTTAATTCTATTCCTGTTGACCCAAATATGTAACACACAAAATGTTTTGCTTTGGAAGCATCTTGAATAAAGACCTTGTTACCTTTGTGAGCAAAGCCTCATGGTGAGAGGATTATAGAAAGCGTTTAGAAAACTAGTCAACTATTCATGGATTATTTGGTTAACTATTTAAGCATCATAGAGAGAGAACATCCCTACCACATCCCCCTCTCACTTCTCAGCTTCAGGGGAAGGATCCTATAAGCAAAGACAGCAGCAGGAAGGATCCCTGCCTCCCTGGGTAAGAACAAGTCCTAGAGAACCATACTGCTGGAGCAGTAGCCATGTGCACCTCCAGTAGTCTCCATAAGCAACCTTGCTCCCCATGCACTATTTTGTGGAGGTGGGAAGTGTCGTTGTTGGTGATAAGGATGGGGTGGAGGCAGAAATAGTGCATGCTGTATACCAGATCCAATGCACATTAGGAATACCTCTTGCAAATAAACAAATGTGTGCACACAGCTGTTCCCATTCAAAATGCAAAGTTCAGAAGAATAGCACAATTTTTTTTTTAAACAGGTCCTTGAAGTACTGTGACCTCCGGTTAATTGACTCGAGCTATTTAACTCGAACCGCCTTAGAACAGGAGGTGGGCCTGGCATGTTGCTATGTCTCTAAGGAAGTCATCCGAGGGCCCATCGTTGCTCTGGATCTTAGTGAGAAGGAGCATGAGAGAACCAGTGTCAGCGAAAATGACTCTGATGAGCTGCTGATTGATTTGGAAAGGCCCCAGAGCAATAGCAGTGCAGTCACTGGAACTTCAGGTTAGTAGTTTGGTTCATCTTTCTTACCTCTTTCCTTAGGAGGGATTCTCCAGGAAGAGGGTAAAGGGTATGAAGGCTTAAGGAGGGCCATTAATTGGCTGGAACCACAGAGCAGGTAGGGATAGAGCATGCTTTTACAATAGCCTTCAGTGACCTCTGTCACAGGGTTATTGGAAAAAGATGATTCGTAATATGACAACAAAGCATTTCATGAAAAAGCTGTCAACCACCCAAAGGACTTCTCATCCATTTTCACAATTTCCCCTAACCCTTAAGAGTATCAAGAAATATTGAAAAAATTATGTTGGATGTTATGGTAGGGTACAATGTTATTGGCCCTTAGCTAAATTCCTTCCAGTCCCAGAGGCTTTGAGCCTGTGTTTATTTGCTGGAATGACTTGGCTGGCTACTTCAGTGACAAATATTAACCCACCTGTGATGTTAATATTATTTTTTCCTTTTCACCCAGTATTCTACCAAGATGGTGATTCTAAGTAGGCCAGCTAGGCCTGGGTTATTTGTTTGTGTGGTTAGCCTTTTTCTTGGCTCTTTTAGTCCTTGCCTTAATTCTGTTGTCTAGTGGAGTTGATGCAGTTGCTAATGGATTTCCTTCTCCCAGCTGCCCCCCCTTAGACCTCTCTGCACAAGGACTGGCTGACCAAACGTATTGGGGAGAGCGTCTGAGTCCCAGGATTCTTTTTGAGGCAGTGAAGCCCATTACTATAGTTTGTAAGAATCCCTCAGGTGATCTGCAGGCTGGTCTCTAGTACAAATGTTTGTAATATAATGTTAACAGAATCTGATCCAGATTAATGTTCTGCTTAAAATAACATTCCTGATTGGTGCCTCCTGAAAGCAATACTGCCCTTTTATAGCAGTTGGTATTTTTGGGTAGTAGGTGGTGGGAATCAGTAAGTTAATGATCCCTGAGATTTTTTGCCCCTCCAAAGGTGGTGTAGAACCACTACTCTGTTTGGTCATAGTAGCGCCTTGCTCACCCTCGGCCAGGAATTGAAAAGCCAATAGTATTCTCTGCCTAGCCTCCCTTTACCAGCTAGCTTGTTGGTATTACACATGCAGGCCATCAGAGACACAGGGATTTTGAGTGAGTAGCTTTGAAGATGGACTTGAAACAGAATCCTTCCTGTTGGCATAGCTGTCAGCTGAGATTGACTTCTGGGGTGTGTCTTCCCCAGGCTCTAGAACGCTTGGCATCCCTTCTTCACTGAGCATCCTTGGTGGGTGCATGTTCTCCTCTTTTAGGTTCCATAGCAGAGAACGGAGTGAGTTCCTCTTGTGCAGCCCAGAAGCAAAGTTTCCAAAATGCAGCCAACAGCTCAAGGCTTGATGAAGGGGTTACTCCAGAATCCCCCCCGGGAGAACCTTTGAAGCAAGAGTGTGATTCCCTGGGCCATCAGATGGCAAGCAGCACCACCTCCAAGCCTTCCTCTTCCTCCTCCACATCCCGGACTTTCCAGTGGCCGGGGCAACCCGCCAAAGGCTGCAGGGGTTTGCATGTGTCCCTTCCACGCATTGTGATACTGTCCAAAGCTGCCTACTGCCTCCTGGGCGCTCAGAGGAGTGGGCAGTTGCCTTCCTCTTCTTCCCTCCTTCCCCACGCTGACGTGTCATGGGTGAGCTCTTTGAGACCCTTTCTGCACAAGGATATGACCAGTGAGGAGCAGTCCCTGTACTACCGCCAGTGGACAGCTGCCCGGCAGCATCATGCTGACTACAGCAACCAGGGGGATGCCACTGGCTCCCGGAGCTTCCATCCCCGCAGGCTGCTGCTCACAGGGCCCCCACAGGTAAGCACCCCCTATCCAGAGCCTACTGTATGGACCTCGACTGGAAGTGAGCTGGGAGAAGGGGGCACAGATTTCTCAGAGCTGGGAATTGTAGGATAGAAACATCTAGCAGTGGCAAAAGGGATGACCCAAAGAATAAGGATCACCCAGTAATTCTAGTGCTAGAAATAAGCCAAGAGCATTATAAAAGAAACAAAACAGAACCGTCTGTTCAAAGATTTTTATAACACCGTTATTTCTTTTTGCAAACCCCGCCCCCAAAACTAGAAGCAACCTATGTTTGCCCAATAGGGGATTTCCAATAGGGAAATGAAATAAATTGTGATACATTAATATTATGGAAAATTATAATGCAATTGAAATTGACCAATATAAAAAATATGAAAAGCCCTTTAAGAAATAGTCCAAAGCATCAGAAGAACAGAATACATATGACGAAATAGCTGATAATAAGCATTTTAATGTTTACAAAGCCCTTTACATATGTTATCTTCTATTATCTTTATTTTACAGATAAGGAAACTGAGACAAACAGAAGTTAAGTGACTTAGTCAGGGTCACCCAGCTAGTGAATGTCTAAAACTAGATTTGAGCTCAAGTATTCCTGACTCCAGGCCCAGTGCTGCATCCACAGAGCTGCCTTGTACCTCTTTAACAAATAAATACAGCAAATTAAAAAAAAGAGAAAAAATGAATGAGAATGAATGAATAGACCAAGAATCTTGATGGAGACATAGAATAATTGTAAAGTTATGATGTGTTATGCACTGAAATCATTTATGTAAATGTAAATAGTTGTAAAGCAACTCTAATTGGATAAATTCATGTTTACTATAAAACTTAGAATAAGTCATTAATTTAAAAAAAAGTAGGCACCAAACTTGTTCTTCCCGGCCCTTGAGACAGAACTATAGGTAAAAGTTGGCAGATTTCAGCTCAGTGAAAGGACAGATTTCCTGATATTTAGAGATGGTCATAAAAGGAACAGGCTACTTTGGTAGGTCATGAATTCCTTGTCACTCTAGGTATCTAAGCAAAAGCTTAAAAACTTGTAGTTGGGAATACTATAAAAATAATTCATGTTTTAAGCTTATTATTATTAATAGCAGTAATGATAATAGCCGGCATTTATAAAGAATTTTAAGGTTTGCAAAGTGCTTTATGAATATTATTTCATTTTATCCTCATAATGACATGGGTAATAGATGCTATTATTATCTTCATCTGTAAAATGAGAAAACTGAGACAATCAGGGGTTAAGTGACTTGCCCAGTGTCACACAGCTGGTAAATATTTAAGGCCAGATTTGAACTCACATCTTCCACAGAACCACCTCAGTGCTTAATGTAGTAGATGACCTCTTATGTGTCTTCCAACTCTAAATCCTATAATTCTAAAAACCATCAGCAAATGGGAAATGATGAAAATGATTATGAAAATATTTTTACTGAATTTTGTATTTATTTTATATGATTTTATTCTTTTTACTAAAGGTAGGTTCTTTATGTGTTGAGAAAAAAGAGAAAAGAAATAGCATCTCTTCTGAGTTAGAAGTAACTGATGCATTTTTTTACTAATGTAATGTTTGTGTATTATTAATGAAATGTTTAATTTTTCCCCTCTTCCCATTTTGTTTTCCTTCTCTTGCCTCAAAATGGTTCCATCAGGTGGGAAAGACTGGCTCCTATCTGCAGTTCCTAAGGATTCTCTTCCGCATGCTCATCAGGTTACTGGAGGTCGATGTGTATGACGAGGAAGAGATTAATATCAGTAAGTATGGTACAAGAATTCTCAGAGGCCTTTTTGTGAGGTAAATTGGAGGAGGGAAAGGTAAAGGGAGGGTATAGATTACAAAGAAAATTAAATTGTCCCATGTTTCTGACATCTTCTGGTGTTTCATTTGTAAAAGCCTTTTGAAGACTTCTTTTGTATCCCCTAGCAGGCATCATGCTGGGAGAATTAATAGGTGTCTAGTAACTATTTGTTGAGTGAATGAATGGAAAAGCATTTGTTCAGCACTCAGCAATGTGCCGAGTACTGTGCTGAGCCCCAGAGAGAGAGGAAAGTGAGCTGGGCCCTGCTTCCAAAAGAAGTTCATATTCTGAAAGTGGGGGAGATGATATACATAGAAGGGTCTGCTTGAAGGGAAAATGGAAAGGCCCTTTGGGCTATACCATCAAGGCAGATGGTAATGAGTGGATGAAAGAACAAAGGCTGGTGGGATATCATAAAATTGAATGCTGTCATGTTCTCATACTGTGTTGCCTAAGTAGCCAGAATGTATTCTTATCTTCAGTCAGGCTCTGTCTGTTGTGGGCTTTCCCCCTATTTCCATTAACAAGGCAATTAAATGATGAAGGAAATTGAAATTTAAAATCATTTCCAATAAGATAATAGGGAACAGTGCTCAGTGAGGGTAGTAGTCAAGCAGAAGAATATTATTACCAATAATAATAATAATAATAATAACTCAAGTTTATATAGAGCTTTAAGGTTTATAAATGCTTTGTTTTCAGCTCTGTAAAGCAAGTAAGTAGAGACTTCCTCCTTTGGGTGAGAAGGAGAAGGAAGTTCAGTGACTTTAACTTTAACTCTCCATATCTCTTTTTCAGTTTGGTCTCTCTCTTTTTACTCTCTGAAGTTTAAGCATCTTGTTCTTCCAGTCCTGAGTCTAACAGTGAGATGGATGCTAGGGAAGAATGATATCCTGACCCATCTACATCTAGAAATGGATCAGGTGCTGGTCTAGCCAGGGGCATGTTGGAGTCAACTCATATTGGCTTAGGAGAGCTGATAGTTAAAAATTTTCCATGCAAAGGGGCAGCTGGGTGGCACAGTGGATAGAGCTCTGGCCTTGGAGTCAGGAGGACGTGAGTTCAAATCCAGTCTCAGACACAAGACACTTACTAGCTGTGTGACCCTGGGCAAGTCACTTAACCCCAATTGCCAAAGCAAACAAAAAAAATATTTTTTTTCCATGCGAGCATTTGTGCCTTAGAAATTGGCAAATACTTCAAATCAGGGTTTGATATATTGCCTTTTTAAGTTGTCTAGGCTTAGGAAAGTGATGGAGAAATTTTTGATAATAGAGATTAAACTTTCGAGTGTCATGCATACTTTTTAAAAAACTTTTTTTTTAATTTTACCAAAAACCATTCATTAAACATTTACCAATATCCCCTGAATCCATCCCTAGTGGGACACAGCCACAACAGGGAAGGCCTGTGAATTCTGCTCCAATATAGATTAGACCTTTAAGGTCTAGGCTGGTTTCTTAAAATTAATCTAGAATATTCACACCAAGGCAGTACTGAATTAGACTAGCCGCCTTAGATTAGGTAGGTTACTTTCTGATTGTCCTACAACATTAATGAAACATTACCCTTGCAATGCTTTCCTTTTTCTCATATGTGTAAAAGATGGTATACTCTGAAGAAATGTTTTATTCTTATTTTTCATTGAAGGGGGCAAAGAAGGGAGAGAAAAAAAGACATATATACATTCCCAAGCAGGATATTTTTTCCCTTCCCCAGTTTACATTCATGCTTGTAGATCATCCCACTCTACCCCCTCTCTCCTCAGTCCCAAGATGAGACAGATGCCCATTATCCCGTAAAGTGGGCTGAAACTTCTAGCTGGACTCTGAAGACTGTGTGAGGTCCCTGGCATGCTCCTAAATGGGGCTGGACCAGACCTGTAAGGACTACTCCAGACACAGGCTAATCCTTCAATCTTCTGCCCTGGAGCCAAACTAGAATTAAATTTATTTCCAGAGGAAAGAAGCAAGATGCTTTTAATCCCTATCATTTTACTTCTTCTAAAACATCCCCAGTGTCCCTGAAGAAATTTTGGTCATCTTATTTCCTTACTTCAGGAGACTCCATGCCATTCCATTCAACATTTATTAAGTGCCTACTAGGTGCAAGGCACTGTGGAATCTTTACCACTGAGTATTTTAGACCACAAGGGCAGCTAGGTGGATAGAGAGCACTGGGTCAGAAAGACCTGAGTTTGAATCCAGCCTCAGATACTTATTAGCTGTGTGACCCTGAGCAAGTCACTTATCTGCTGCCTGCCTCAGTTTCTTCAACTATAAAAATGGGGATAATAACATTACCTACCTCCCAGGGTTATTGTAAGAATCAGTTGAGATAATATTTGTAAAGCATTTGTGGTGCCTGGCACATAGTAAGTATTATATAAAAAATGCATAGTCCTTTTCTCCTTTACTGTATATTACTGTGAGTTGCTGTAGCAAAGAAAAATTTGTGACCTCATGAACAGCCTTCCAGTGATTGGCCTCTATGTGCTTAGCTAGTGTGTTTTTTGTGTGTGTTTAGTTGTTTTTCAGTTGTGTCCAACTCTTTGTGTCCCCATTTGGGGTTTTCTTTATCAAAGATACTGGAGTGGTTTGCCATTTTCTTCTCCAGCTCATTTTACAGATGAGGAAACTGAGGCAAACAAGGTTGAGTGACTTGCCCACGATCACACAGCTAGTGAGTATCTGAGGCCAGATTTGAACTCATGAAGATGAGTGTTTCTGGCTCCAGGCCCAGCACTCTATCCATTGCACCACCTAGCTAGGCTAGTCCTTAAACAAATCATACAGTCCACCACTGGCCTATATTGCTTGATGGCTGGACCTGGCTAAACTTTTGTTCCCCAGGAATAACCTTTGATAACCTAAGACCACCTTCTTAGCACAGTGTGACACCAGACTGAATAGGATTTTAGTGATGATTTCTGTATCGTGTCATAACCATTTGGGACTTTAATCTGCAATGATGAGTTTAGGACAATTGAGCTGTGAACCAAGGCAGATGAGAAAATCTATAGATATTTTTAGTAAATGGTTCTTTTTGGCTAGTTCACTTTAATACTCGCCCTGCCTCCCATTGTTAGAATAGACATAAATGTACTTTTGAAAAGACACACTGAAATATTCCTACAGCAGTGTTCACAGATGGATAAGTAATGTTACTATATGGGACAAAAGGGTAATTCCTGCAATTATGCTTTTTTGGAAAATTTTTGCTTTTTTCCTTTGTGGTTTAAAGTCAATATAAATTACTTTTCCATGCCTGCAGATTTTATTTGATCATAGCAGTCTATTATGAACTGAAGAAAAATTTGGGGGAACTAGCACATGTACATTTGAGAATCCATGTGAATGTTAAAATTGAAAAGACATTAAATTTGAAAGATTCTACACATGTGCAGTTCTAACTTGGTTAAACTAAAGGCTCAGAATGACTTGATGGTGAGATACCATTTGGTGTTAGCAGGCCAGAATATTGGGAAAGTTCAGGCGGTCCTTGCACAGTTAGAAGCTGACTGCTAAGCAGTATTATTCCTACAGCGTCTGTATGCTGATTGGTCTGGGAAATTCTCACCTTAGGAATTGGTTCCGTAGATTTCTGGGTCTCTGAATCGAGGGAGGGTGTAACAAAAGCTGCATAATGGGGCTGCATTTTCCAGTGCACAAATCTGACAGCCTTATTCAGATTTCTCCTACCCTGTGATGGAAGATCCCCCGTTTTTCTGAAATGTCTCTTTCTGACCTCTTCAGTCTTGGCTTTTTATGATTTTCCTTCCTTCCTGGTTTGCACAACATCTGACACCTCTGTCTGATCTCTGCTTTAGGTCACAGTGAGAACAGTGAGATCACTCTGTCGGAAAGGGATCCGTGGCCCGACATTGAGAACTTCGGCAAAATGCCTTTTGATGTCAGTGTACATGATCCCAAGTACAATCTGATGAGTCCAGTGTTCACTGAAAAGTTGGCTGGAATCAAGCAAGGTTAGTGCAAATTGAGTCATCCTTTCCAGTGCTAAATGTCAGGGTTCCAGAGAGTCTGGGAAGTTGGTCTCCTGGAACAGGATGATCTCTAAGAACAGCCTATGAAGACTGTGTATATGTGTATGTGTGTGTGTGGGGGGGGGGTGTGTGTGTGTAAGTACTCGTGTGTGTGTCTACATCCATGTGTGCACTCTATTACATGAGCTTTCACTCCCTTTATTAGCTCATTTTCCCTCCCTCCTTCCTTCCTTCCCTCTTTATCTTTCTCACTCATGCATAAATCACAAGCTTTGATTTTCAAAACCATAGCTCAAGCCTCTAATTGTAGGCGAGAACCCCTTCTGTTCCAGCTAGTTAGGACTCAGGAGAGGGTTCTTCTCCTCACGTGTAGTCAGGCCTTGTGAATGAATCATAGGGTGGGTTTTTCCCCCTCCTTTGTGCACAGAAGCAAAAAAGGATGCCAAATTTGAGGAGTCCAGGAAACGGGAAACCATCTCCATGATGCTGACCAAGTATGCTGCTTACAACACGTTCCATCACTGCGAACAATGCCACCAGTACATGGACATCAGCCCTGCATCCCAGGTGAGGCTCACCTGTCCCTGCTACTACTTAAAGACGTTGGTATTTAAGCTGGGCTGGGAGAAGGATTCTCAGGTAGGATGTAAACTGAGGAATGGAGAGATGGAAAATGTATTCCTATTTATGACAGAGACTTTCCATAGGGTTTTCCCAGCATACTCTTGGTAGAGACTTAGACAGGATAATGTAAAAGCCCTATTGACTGGTGGCCCAAATGTGTGATGCAACAATCTGGAAAAGTTTGGGTTTGCTTGTTTTTTATTAGTTAGGGGCAGAGAAGAAAACAGAGTGTTAGTTCTACATTGTATCTAAAAGTTCTAAAAGCACTTCATGTGTGATATACCTTGGTTTTAGACTAGAAAGACTATCCTTAAATAATTGGATTGTAGGAGTATAGATAACTCGGAAAGTTGTAGTTTTTTAAATTTACCCTTCATTGATCAAAATAATGCCACTGACTTTGAGTTATATTTCCTATTTGGCTGCTGAGCTGGCCGCTGCATTGCCCTGAGCCAGCAATGTTCTTATCCCAGCATGGAATGTAATTGATGAGGGAGCTTGGAAAATAGAATTATTTGTTGCTGTTTGCAGCTAGAATCACATAGGGAGACATGAGCTCACTTCCCATTATAGCACCTTCTTACGGAATATTTGAGCAGCAAAGATGAAGGCCAGAGGAAGCTACCCACATCTTGGGGAGTACAGCACTTCTCTCCCTACTATACCTGAGGAAAAATTATTCTCCTGTTAATGGATCAGAATAACTTTCCTCCCTTAAAGACCTTCAGCTATGAAGAATAGGTCTACCACTCCAAGAAAAAATAAACCGAAGATAGATATCCTGGTTCAGGTTGACCCTTGTTTCCCCATAGTTCTTCACTCAGTCTTCACTTGAACTATATATGGATTGGTAGTAAAACTGTGAATGCATCGGTAGAATCTTTGTTTAGTTTTACTTGTCAGTAACAATAATAGCTGCTATATATGTGTTTGTGTGTATGCACTATCACTTTAAGATCTACAAAAGGCTTTATATATTTACTTCTCACACAACCCTGGGAGGGTTATTATTATTATGCTGTTATTATTCCCATTTTACAAATGAGGAAACTGAGGCAGATGGAAATTACGTGACTTGTCCAGGGTCACATGGTTAGTAGGTGTCCAAACTCATATCTTCCTGACTCCAAGTCCATAACTCTATACACGGTGACTCCTCGCTACCAAAAATATCATGGGGCTAAAAGACTTGAGCTGCACACAAAATGTCCTTTTGTAGTAAAATGTGCTTTCAAAAAAAGATAAAAAAGTTTAAAATATTGATGTGTTTTCTGTGTGATATGGGTAATAGTTGAATTGTCCCACATAAAGTATTTAGACAATTATACATGTGATTATTTTCTTTTACGGAATATCATAGTTATTCCTAAATAAACAGACCTAACTCCCTCCTAGTGTCATGCAGATAAAACTGACAAATTGTCTTTGAGTCGAGTCAAGTCTTGGCAGCTTCATTTAAGTTTTTGTAAGGCATGTGAAGATATCAGCTATAATCGGTCACTGGAATCACTTACTGAAAGAGCATGGAATACACTCTTCTCTAGAAAAATTTTTAAAGTTATTAGACTTCTGTTTGTCTTGGGATGTGTCATTTGTCCCTGACTGAATCCACAGCTTTTTGTTGTTCAGTTGGGTCCAAACTTTTCATGTGCCCATTTGAGGTTTTCTTGGCAAAAACACTGGGGTGGTTTGCCATTTCTTCCTCCAGGTCATTTTACAGATGAGGAAACTGAGGCAAACAAGGTTAAGTGACTTGCCTAGGGTCACACAGCTAGTAAGTATCTGAAGCCAGATTTGAACTCAGTTCTTCCTGGCTCTAGGCCCAGCACTCTATCCACTGCACTGCCTGGCTGCCCTACTGGGCATCATAGTCTGGTGGAAAAAGAAGAGTCAGAAGCCCCTGGTTCAAACACCAACAGCTGCTACTTTTGTTACCTGGGCAAGCACCAACCTCTCTGTGTCTCAGTTTCTTCATCTTTCATGTAGGAAGTTGCACTCAGTGATCTCTAAGGCCCCTTCCAACTCTGTAATCTTATGACCTATAGGAAACAAAAGCATTTTTCTCCCTGCGGCTTGTTGACCCTTTGGAATAGAACAAGATACTTCGTAGGTGATTTTGTATTTTATAAAAGTAATTATGGTTCAAAGGAAACATCCAAAATTCATATTAAGCAGCAGCTTTTCTGTTAATGTTATGGAGATGTGTCAAAATGAACAACTCCAGAGAAAGGGGATGCTTGTCCGCCATGGCTCTTTCTGTGTTGAGCATACAAACATGGGCTTTAGAGGATTTCAAATTCTTTAGTTACTGTTAGTCTCGACCCTGTTAGTTTCTTGGAAAACAGAGTGAGAGGTGTGACCAACCTTTTCTGCAAACCTTAAGTTTCCGTTCCTTTGCCCTTTGCTTTCCCATGCAGATGTCCGATTCTACCCTTCACGCATTCACATTCTCTTCCTCCATGTTGGGAGAAGAGGTTCAGCTCCACTTCATCATCCCCAAATCCAAAGAAAGCCATTTTGTCTTCAGCAAGCAAGGCAAACACCTGGAGAGTATGCGGCTGCCTCTGGTGTCTGACAAGGTGGGTGAGCATCATGTCCAGCCACAGGAAATGGGAGATGGGGGGAGGCTTCTAGAACGTCTTACGCCTAGTATGTTTTCCTTTTCAGCAGAATTTGAGCGTTGTCAAGAGCCCGATCTTCACTCCCTCCAGCGGACGACACGAACAAGGCCTGCTCAACCTTTACCATGCAATGGAAGGCATCAGCCACCTTCACCTCCTAGTGATCAAGGAGTATGAGATGCCACTATATCGCAAGTACTGGCCCAACCACATTATGCTGGTGCTTCCCGGCACATTCAACAATGCTGGTGCTGGTAAGCAGTTACGAATCTTATGGAGCCTTAAGTGAGAAACCCAACTTCTTTGTTTCATCCTTATGGCCAGAAACCCAAGAACTAGCAGCAATTTAGGATTAAGCAATACTGGGTTCCTCCTAAGGAAAAGTTCCACTGGTCTTTGTCATATCTTTGAAGTTGGCCTATTGCTATTAGGAAATGGGGGAGTTTTTAAGTTTAATTTTTCCCCTGACCCTCCCTATTTAGCACCATGTTCCCTTAAAATGTTTTTAGTTCCAAGGATCAGTCTCTGAGGAAGCAGTCATCAGACTGAAAAGTATTTTAGGATACTCCCTTATATATGCTCAGGAAATGTCACGGAGTGATCCCGTAGTGCAGTAGTTTAACAGTTAGAGATAGCTCTCCCCACATATTCCAGGGATCACTATCATTCCATTTTAGGCTCTAAGGGTACAATTTCAATCTGGCAAACATCAGTGGAGCCCATTTCCATCTAAAGTGGCTCTAAGAGGCCCAATCCTGCCTGCATCACCTATAGTTTCATAGACACCAGAGAGGCTGAGCCAGCTCTTAGGACCAACTTCAGAACACATAATATCACTGATGCTGATAATGTCCATCTGATTGACTGATAAAGGTGTTTGGAACAATCTTTAGTGCTCATCCGGAGTAAATTAAGAGCAAAGGACTGAATGTTCTCACTGTGACCTAAAGCAGAGATCAGACAGAGGTGTCAGAACCTCCCACTGCAGACAGTTTGGGCAGTACAACTGTTAAGGGAATAGTGGTGATGTCTGGAAACCTCTAACCGAATCTGCTATTCAGAGCAGTTGTTGTTCTGCTTCCTGGGCCATGGCTCTCCAGTTCAGAATGAAGCTTTCCAGGGTTTAAAGATAAGCTGCTCAATAGTGGTTAATCAGCAGATTGACCTTTCAAGGGGAAGTGATGCCAGCCGGTAATTCACTTTGGCTCTTTGCCCAAATGAATCTATCACAGTGCCAGCAGAGTAGTACACCTGAAATAATATTTCAGAAGCAGAGCTCTCACCATCTACATATTTCTCTCTGTTGCTTTCTCTGCTCTGATAATCATTTTTTCCTTCCTCTTCTGTCTAATCTGATCCTTTTTTCTTCCTTCTCTTTTCCTTTCCCCTTTCCCCCTTAACCTCCCTTAATCTCACACATTTTCAAAGATTAGTCATGTCTTAAGGACTGTTTTATATTCCCTGTTCTTGATTCTAAATTTCATGACTTGGACTTCTTGCGTTTTTCTCTCTCAAAAATAATTAGTTCATTACAAAACTGACAAAATTAAATTACTTTTTACTTGCATTCAGCTCTCCTTTGAGCTTTTGTCAGTGGTTTCTCTGTCCTTCAGCTAGAAATAAATAGCAGATTTTACACACACACCCTTTTTTTTTGGCTGTAGTTTTTCTACTGTTTTTGTTTGGAGAACATGCTAGTCCTAGGTCTTTTGGTGTCTGTGGTATATCCTTTAGTGATGGGTTCTATTTTAAAAGTCTGAATGGTTTCTCTGACCTCTTCAGATTATTTTCTTCTTGATTCCTTCCTATTCTCTCTCTCTCTCTCTCTCTCTCTCTCTCTCTCTCTCTCTCTCTCTCTTTCTCTCTCTCTCTCTCTCTCTCTCTCTCTCTCTCTCTCTCTCTC